ATTTATAACGACGCAGATATTTTTGGAGTTTTGACATCTTGTTTTGAAGTTTTAACTTCTGCTTGTTGAAAAGTTTATTTATTGAGTTTTTTGTTGTTTAATTGGATCAGATGCTAAAAAGTGAAGTCAAATTTCACCTCAGCTGATCTGTTGTTAAAAAAACACGAGCCCGTTTTTACTTTTTTGTGTGTCGCGCAGCTGCCGCCGCACCACAAGCAAGGCATTTTCATCTCCCCCAAAGGACAGCCGATGACTGATGTGTTTTGAGTCAGAGGGCGACACACGTCAGGCATGTCTGGATTTACTGGACACACATGAAGTGCTTTTGCAGTGCCAGCAAAGTGGAAATGATTTGCACAACATAAACACGCAGCAGGGGCTTCCATAAACACAGACAGGAGTGGGTTTTTTTTTTTGCACAAAGAGCTGAGAGACGAGCAGGTAAAAAATAAAAAGGTTTGATCACAAATACACTCACGGACAGAATAAAGAGTTACCTCTGAGGACAAACACGGAGGGGAACAGCAGCCAAACACATAAATCCTGACGATGCAGACGGTGGAAAGCAGGACGAGACTAAAGTCAATTGATCGAGCCATCGAACTTTAAATTTCTCTGCTTCTCCCTCCCTCCACCTGAACCATAAATGTCACYGCCGCTCCACCGCCAGCTGAGTGAGTCACCAGTCTGCAGACAAAAAAGAGAAGAAAACACTGAACTGACCATTCAACAGCACCGTTTTCTGCTTTATTGGACTGAAACTTTGTACAAAGCAGACGTGTTACAAAGACTTCACTAACAGGTTACATTTAAATCCTCCAGCTGCACTTGAAGCTGCAGAACTGCTCGTTTCTATCAACATTTTACTGTTTTAAATCAATTTTTCTGTGTTTTGTCTTTGAATAAAGCTAGCAGAGGAAACACGCAGCAGTCAGGGGCCAGACCAGAGTCTGATGTGAAAGACGACAAATTTAATTTTTTGAAATGAAAGATCAGGACAGTTTGGTTTCAGCTGCAGCTCTGATGTCTGCAGGTTCTGTGGGATCATTTCTGTTTCTGCCTCACAGATTTAAACCGACTGAAGTTATTTTATTCAAACTCGAAACCTGAAGGTGTCCTCCGCTTCACTGTAAGGTTTCCTTTTCTGCTGCTTTGCAAAGTTGACCAACATTTCTGCRCCTCAGGTCATCGTTCACACAACTCAGACTTTGTTTTCCTCCGTATGATTTTCTGCACAATTTTCGTTCTGCGTTTTTTTCAACAATTCATTTTTCAAACGTTCATCTCATTCAGGGCTTTGACTTCTGATACTTCAGCAGTTTATACTTTGAGATATTTAACTTTTTTAGCCATTTGTAGTCTCATTAAAATAAAAAGAGCTTCTTCAACATCGTTAAAACCTTCAAACCRTTTATAAATATTTACTTTTAGTTCTAGCTCTGCTTTTTAACTTCTTTATGCTGATTTCAACTTCTATTTTGATTATTTTTCTGCCTTTTTGTTATCATTCTGATTTTTTTCTGTTAATTTCAACTTCTTCTTCTTCTACTACTTTAACCTTTTATTTTGTTCCTTTTTACTTTCTTTCTGCCTCTTTCATGTTTTTACTCCCTTCACTTGTTATCTGCACATTTCTGCATTCTTCAGCTGTTCTCTGCCCTTTGAAGCTTTTGTTTTCAGTAAATTTCAGCAATCATAAAGCTAATTTTGTATTTCACCTCAGCTGTTAAAATCCAGCAAGCATTTAAACATATTTCAGGTTCTTCAGCAGCTTTCAGCTAAATTATTCAGCAATAAACATGGAGGCATTTTCAAAGGAAATGACATTYCTCTATGTTTTTTCTTACATATTTTCCCATAGGGCTTAGTTTAGGCAGGTGACCCTGGACAGGTCATCGTTCCATCACAGGAACACATGGAAGAAATGATTGTGTGCACAAACAGGCAGAACACAAACTCCTGACAGAAAAGTTGCTGACATGATTTCAGTCTGTTCCTTCTGTGAGGCA